AAAAAAGAAAAGAAGGAAGGAAAAGGTTGGGCGAGGTGGGTCAACCGTGGCTTCTATTTACTTTGTTAAGTGTGGGCCACAAGGTCCAATAAATGTAACGTTTACAATGGGCTTTAGAGCCGAGCTTGAACTGAGGGAAACCCGTGTCCCGGTTTTGCCGTAAATGGATCAGCCCAATGCCCCATCCACTGAGGAAATAATTTTTCTACAAAACATCACATAACTTTTGGGAGCCATACTACTACTACTAATACAGTGTCGGTCAAGGCTTACTCTATTCAAGGCTTACTCTATTCCCTACTAATATAGCCTCTTGAGTAGCTAACTCTTAAATAAATAAATAAATAAATTATATATATATATATAACAGAGCCTTGTCTCTTCCAAGATCCCATTTTGCAGCTTCTTATTCTTCACTGAGTGTCTCATCTCAAGTCTAGACCTATCAAATGCCCAAACACTTGATATGAGGAGATTGGAAGCTTAAAACCAATTAAGGTATTAATGAATGCAGGAATTACAACAGAGGATTAAGAAGGTGATTGATACATTAGGGCCGAATGGAAGTCACCCTTCAGAAGCAGAGTACAAAGAAGAGATGGGAAAGATGAGGGAAGACATTGTAAATTTCCATGGCGAAATGGTGCTCTTGGAGAATTACAGCAATATCAATTACACAGGTACCATCACTCAGCCTTTTGCTCTCACCTTGTATATACTTAAAAAATTTTCAAAGACTTAACAAGTTTTGAAGTTTTGTAGGGCTGGCTAAGATCTTGAAGAAATATGACAAGAGAACGGGAGGCTTGTTGCGCTCGCCATTCATCAATAAGGTTTTACAGCAACCCTTTTTCACTACTGATCTTGTTTCAAAGCTTGTAAAGGAATGCGAAAACACCATAGATGAAGTGTTCCCAGTAGAGGAAGAAGAGAGAACCAAGGAAAGAAAAGAAGCAATAACAGTAGGTGAAGGAATTTTCAGGAATACAGTTGCTGCATTACTTACCATGCAAGAAATTAGAAGAGGCAGCTCTACTTACAGCCATTTTTCTCTGCCTCCCCTTAATCTGCCAGACTCTGATCTCATTCACTTATTCCAGCTTAATTCCCCTATACCGATTCTCTAACAAAAATGTTTAAGTATGCCAGGAGCATGCTAGAACTTTTTATTCTGGTAATTTTCTTATTTTTTCAAAAAGGAAAATCTTTGGGGTACATATACAAAAATATGAAGATATCTCTTTCCTCTCGTATCAAACATTTCAATAAGAGTCAGTGTCCTTATTTATGGTAGAAGAGTGCGTCTCAATCTTGTTTATGTGAAGTATTACTTCCACTTAATTTTAGTTGTCAAATTTTTGTAAATGAACATTTTCAAATTTAGTTGTGATATTTATTTTTTAATTATATATTTATATATATATATATATATAGGAATAAGAAGCAAGAAGGGATCTATTTAAATATAAATGTTACATGCTATACTTATATAAAATTTTAATAATTCATCTTTTCATTTTTAATAGTTGAGATTTTTTACAATTCTTTAGATAAAAAAATAATTGTATTTAATAAATGTAAATAAGTTTTAATAATTGAAAGTGAAAAAAATGAATATTTGAGATTTTGTATAAATGTAATATATAAAATTTATATATAAATAGGCCTTTACTTATAAAATGCTTTATTTCAATTTTACCAAGATCATATTAAAAAACTCTTACTCAAAGGAGAGAAGATTTTTTGGTTAGTAAAAAGGCTTTGGAGCAAATATGAAAGTGAAAAGTAAAAATTAAGATGTTACAGATTTTAAATATAAGAATTTTTTTTATAAAATCATTCAAATATTTTAAATAAATTTTTACATATTAACTCATAAATAGTATATTAGTTTTTTTTATTATTATCCATACCATTTTCATTACCCAATGTCTTAATTTCCCTCAATTTTAAATACTCCCTTAGTTGATTTTTAGTAGTTTTAATTTAATTTTTTGATTTTTTAAACATAAATTTATATGAAAATTTAACAATTTATATAAACAACAATTAAAAAGTTTTTCAATTATTATTTATATAATATTTTACATTTTCATTTAAAATTTATATCAAAAAGTCAAAAAATCAAATTAATACTATTAAAAATGTGCGAAAGGAGTATAAAATTGTGTTTTTCAACTATTCATGAATGGATTTTTTTTTTTTTTTACTTTTAGGATACATGTTAAAAATGTATCTATTTTATTCTTTTATAATTAATTTGTATAAAAATATAAATGTTGACTTTATACATTTAATTAATTCATCAATTAAAACTGTTTAAATGATAATATTATGAAGACAAATTTTAATTTTTATAATTTCTAATATAAATTAATTATAAAAAAATACATTTATTGTACCTTTAACTTGTACTTTAAAAATAAAAATTAGATAAACATTAATAAATTTATATTTTTTGTTTCAAAATAAATTATGACAACCATATTAGATGAGAGCAAACTACAGCAAACCCCTCTAATAAATAATTTTTATTTTAAGATCTCATATAATTCAAACTAATCTAATTTGACACTCTTTATCACAGCAATTTTTGAACAAAACCCTAGCAAGTGAAACTACAAGTGTACGACTCTCAACCTTCCATGTTAGTCTCCCGTCAAGGTTTTTTTCATTTTATTTTAATTACACAATAAAATAATTATTTTTTATTTTTTATTTTTTGTTTTATCTTATTTATATATATTTCATGTAATTTAAATTAAAATTTTTTTTAATGAAAAAAAATGACAACTCAACGGTTAAAAAAAAGAAGATTTTAAGAAAAAATATTACTACCATAATCGAAAGCAGTTTCATTGGAAGTGCGTGTACAAGAGCCCACCACATCTGGGATAAGCAACTCCAGTATCATGGTATCCCCTGTATCTTAAATCTTTTTT